TTGCGGTTACGTATCAATGTCAAACGGAGAATCATGATTTGCTCTTATACCTCAAAACATGAAAAACACCACTGCAACTTACCACATTAAATGTCAAGGGCACTTCATCTGATTTTTTTGAGATATCCATGGGTATTAACCACGGGAAATTTACCTCCGGAAATATTGGTCATACTCACTAAATGCAGTTTCCCATGGTAAAAGAGTCATTAGAGCCCCGCATAACCCAACCCTAAGATAGCAAATTTCCTGGAAACTAGAAGTCCAAACATGTTTCTTCTACAACTGTTTTTTCGTCTGCAGCTTGGGGTCTTATAACCAGGATTCTACAGTATCTTCACTCAACATTCATCACTATAACATGACAAAATGTTTAAATATCCACTGCAAAAGCTACAATTTCTATGATTTAGCCATAGTGCATATTTGATTGAGATCCCACACAAGTACACATTGTGGACATGTTTTTTTTTTATTTCTAATAACAACATAAACAAGTTGTTACAACTTTTAAGTAGGAGATTTATTGCAGAATACTGTTTACTTGATTGAATTTATAGGGTATGCAGAATTGACAGATTTTCATAAAATTTTGCCAAAAACATTCCAGGGATAATGACAAATGAGAGCATGTCGGGAAATTTTGATTTTTGACATGTTTTTCCTGTGGCGTTCATTTCCGCAACACATCTCACATATTTTTAGCTACTCCAACTTGAGATGCAAATATCTAGACAACCAATCGGAATATCGAAAAAGTCTGACATCCTTTGTTGACTGATGCCTTGTGAATAAGACTGTGCAGTCATTTTGCTTGTGTTGCAGAATCCAATAACGGATTCAATAGAAGAACCCTTGTTGGTTTCAGTCCTTACTGGCTCCTGAAGTTCCTAAAATAAAACCTCACTTTAATTGTATTTTATTGTAAACTTCATTTATTGAACTTTCTTCTGATATATATTTCTTTACGGTCGTACTGAAACTGGTGCGTGTACAATTTTTTTCCTGAAGGACACCCCCAAAGGTTTCAAAGGTTGAAAGCAATCTTAACCACAGGGTATCTGAACACTGCATCAGCAATAAGGTTATCATTTGCGTTCAAGTAAAATAAATGTACGGTTATTTACCTGTGTTTCTGGGTCTTTTTGAGCCGTTTGGAAGAGATTTGACTAGAAGCGAAGGTAGCTTGCGTAGCAAGCATTCCCGTACAAAGAGCTTTTCCACATTCTGGACATGTGTAAATTGGAGCGAGAGCAAAAAAATTCACCACCCCCTGCTTCGTCAATTTTTTGCTCTCGCCCCAATTTACGCATTGCCAGAGTGCGGAAAAGCTCTTCGTACGGGAACGCTTGCTACACAGGCTAAAGAGAAGGCCATTTACATTTCAAATATCATTTTGTCTGCTGCTTTGTAAATGTGATGCTTCGATTACATCTCAGGTTTTTGGTTATCTTCATTAACTATTAACTCTCATCGGGGTAATGAACCCTGAGAATCTCCTCCCCAATGAAAGTTAATAGTTAATGACGACAATGACAACTCGAGACATAATCGCAGCATCATATTTACAAAACGGCAGACAAGATGAACTGCCTTCTCTTCTATTCAAATCTCTGCAAAAGCTCATCTTTATGTGAATGTTTAACGAAAACGTGACATACATTGCTGACATCTGCTACTATTACATAAAGACCGAGTTTGATTACGCAAAACGTGACTCTCACCGTACAGTATACGAAGGTTATCGCTTCTTAGGAGAGGAAAACCAAAAAGCAATAACTCACCTAAAAGGCCTCAGAATCAAGCTGAAAAGTGAGATGACAATAGAAAAGACGACAAGGCATTGATGTAAGCCAATGTTGTTGCAAAAACATCACAATTTCAGCTATAATGTCGATTACCATTTTTCCCCATACAAACCTTTATAAATAGCCTCGTGCACACTTTCTAAAAATAGATTACATCACCAGAGACCTCCCACAGTCCAGTAGAAGGTCTTCTATGAGCATGTTGTATTCTAGACCAGAAAATCAGGTAAAAAAGGAAAGATTGGTGGTATAGGTTTTTGATTGGCTTAAATAATATTAGAAAGCAAACACTGCTGCCGTGAGTAATGTAAAATGGATTCAAGCGTCCACAAAAGAACCTTAATGTCACAAATTGCACAGGGGTCTTATAAAGCCGCAGTGACAGTCATACAGATCCCAAAACCTTCAGGAATTGGAAGTCGAGAACTTTTAGCATGGCGGTTACAACTAGCTGATCAAAACACCTCACAAATTTATGTATTATGAAGAAACTTATCTGTTGGTTATCCTGGTCTTAAAGAGAAGACTTATCAGCTGACTTATTGCCAGAAATTCTCAAATTTGACAACCTAGGCCGCCGGCTCAAACAAATAAGATAGAGCAGGATGATTCCAAATTCATAGCAGACTTAGATGTACCGTGCAATTTGGAGGACTGAGATTTTCTGGATTTTAATAGAGCCATTTATCCAACCACATCAACAAATCTGTGACTGTGAGCAGACCTTAAATGCATATATTTCATTGATATGTTCGGCGCGATACGTGTAACTTAAATAGCCCAAGATGAAAGTGTTTTTCGTATGCAAAGACAAAGGGGGCCAGCTTCATTACGGCAAGGCAACGAATCGGATTGGCTTTAATTTTGGCCTGTAGGCAATTTTAAAGCTCTCATTCGATTTCGCGTTCAGGCAAATCTTCTCGCACACCCAAACTGAAATTCACATTGATTTGCAAAGCAGATGTTTTCTTTCCTTTTCTACGTGTAGCAATCAAACTAGAAATATTTTAAATATAGCCAGTGTACCACATGTTTTCTTTCCTTTTCCAGACCGAGAGATCGAACAAACGAGTGAACAAGCAGGAATACTACCTTCAAATTCAATATTACCGTCAATGCTAAGTTCTCTTTGTTATTTTAATTTACTGTCAATGAACTTGAAAAACATGTAAAGCACACTATCAATTAGGGCTCTTGAAAGTCCTCTCACTCGCGACAAACAGTTCAGTACATTTGCAGTTCTCTCTTTAGTCTCTCAACCTGACCTTTCTTTGCTTTACAAGTATTTATGAAGGGCACTTTACATTATATTATCATGAGTAACTTTTAGTAAAGAAGAACCACTAAACATTGCCATGGCAAATTTAAATCTTCACGCTTGCCCAAAGTGAAATTCGCTTTGGTTTGAAAAAATGTCATACTTCAGGCTGTACATTTATTTACTTGTGTTCCTTGGTCTGGCTGAGCCGTTTAGAAAAGATTTCATTAAAGCAAACAAGGATTGCATTTCAAATATCATCTTCTCTGCCACTTTGTGAAATGCGATGATTCGATTGCGTCTCAAGTTTTCACTATCTTCAGGTTAGTTTTCACTATCTTCGAGTGAGTTTTCACTATCTTCATATACTATTAAGTCTCATTGGCAGAGAGATTCTCAGGTTTCATAAGATCTTCAAACCTTCAATAAGGAGGGTGACTACATAGTGACTATAAAATTATGGTGACGGTGACTATGTAGTGACAAAAATGTTTGCGCAAAAATGTATTCAATGTAGATCATTTTTGCAGTAAGATATTGAGTAACTGAGTCAAAAATTCAAAGAATAACTGAATTGACAAGGTGCAAGCGACTGTAAAATGTCCTTAGACGACAGATGCTCAAAACTCAGGGGGGACTCCTATATGAAAAGGTTGGGGATGCTCATCAACTCACTGAGGGTGTTGATGACAAAATGTCACCAATTTTTAGCTATCAAACTATCTTTTAGGGTGCTCTTGAAGAAATAATAATAAAAGAAATGCTCTCAATTAATTTCTGTTTTCAGGCTTGATTTCCACTGATCTCTCACATGTGAGTCGGGTCTACAAATGCACAGGATCCTTTCTTGAACAGCGGCTAGTAATCAAACCTATTCCGTTTTGAGTGGCATCTTTTAGGGGTCTAACAAGCTTGAGCAATGCCCACATTAGTCTCTATTAGGAGTTAAATTCAAATTCAAAGCATCCTTGACCTTTTCATATGGGAGTTCCCCACAGGGTTCCAATGTCTAACAAGAAGTGACCCAGTGAAAGAGTGAAATCACTCCACCACTACAACTTGGAAAATAAGTTGCCTGCATTGTTTAGAATGCTGAATGACGCCCCCAAAAAATCCCGCTGATACCATGCTGAGCGAGTTGTTAAAAATCAGTCAATCAAGGGTCAATCAGCATGCAGTGGATATGGATGTAATAATTGTTGATGTGACCTCCACCATGCTAGAGGATTGGATAGGGCTGGTGATGGGTAATGCGCAAAAAAAATGTGTTTTCCTTCTGGCAAGAGGGGTTTTGATGGCGCCATATTTCCATTATCTACTTCAAATCAAGGGAAGGCAGAAAGACACAAAGAATATCATAAATCACGACTGCCATCCCAAATTTTGGTGGAGCGAATAATCCTATGATTCTGGCCTCTGAAAACTGGTCATCGATGATGCTATGCACAGGCCAGAGAACTAATGCCATGTTCCTTTTCAGCCACAATAACAAAGAGTTGGAAAATTAAACTTTCCCGACTCATGTAGGCAAGAGGGCAAGAACATGGTTTCTTTCTAGCAGGGAGGCCACTGCAATGCATTGCTTGCCTTTGAAATTCAAGGAAAATTAAAATATTCAAATATTTTGCCATAAGAGGTTTGGAACACTTCATCTCTGCAGGCCATCATGTTGTTTTTCTCAACAGAAGCCAATCACAGTTGGATAACTTCGTCATGCCAACATATTTATCTCAGCAAACAGTATTTTGGAACCAAAATTTGGATGCACTGTTCACAATTCATAGCAGTGCAGGCAAGCTTTCCTCTCCTTCTTTCTTGCCACATGAAAAACTGCCCACAGGTGGTGGAAATAATAACCAGAAGACTTGAAAATAAGCCCCAACTCAGAGTACAGGTAGGTCACAACTAGAGCAAAAACAAGTCACAGTAGTTACCTCTGGACAATTCTCTCCAATAAGTCTCACAATTCCTGATGCCATCCAATGCCTAGACAGTATGCCTTGTACATTGCTTGCATTCAGCACTGTCAAAAAATAGAGGATACTGGTCAGACTAAAACAAATTGCCTCCCATCAATCAAACAGTTATACAGTTCTTACTCCTATAGGCACAGTTGTATGTTACTACAGTGATAACTGTGACCAAACAAGATCTGTTAGATCTTGTAGCTACGCTTTTAAAATCTAACTGTTTTCTTAGTACTACAGTCGCAACGCAGTGCACATTCCAAAGCAGTCCTTGATAACTGATTGATTACTGTAGACACCACATCGCTTGATCAACAAAAACTGTGTTATTGCACCATCGCTCTTAGCCTTTGTGAAATCTATGATGACGTGGTCTTAATCTGGAAGTTCGCTCGGGACATGCCCATGAATGATATTAAAAGGAACCGAGTGTTGTGCTATTAATAACGCTATTAATAAACAGCTTTCTTCCTTAAAAGTCAAAATGTAATTTGTTTGTAAAGGACAAGCACAGTAGTCATGCGAGTCACACAATCTGAGGTTTACACTATCAACGGCTAATTTTAGAACAGTTGTGTTTTTTCCCCTAGCATTGAAAAAGAAACGTTGCAAGTTCTGGCAAGCTCCTGTTTACTTCAGCAAATATTTAATTTTCCTTCAGATCTCTTAACTCGCTGCGATGAAACAGCCAAAGAATTCACTGCATTTACCTAAACCCACTAGAAATACTCGCAAAATTGCAAACAAATTAATGACAGTCACTACTGACGAAATAAACTTGCAAAGTAAACACGATCTTATTTGTCACGTAGCGAAAGTGAAAGCTGCAATGTCAGTGCATCCCACGGCTGCCGTAATACCTTTTTTTTAGCATATTCATTATTCCCTTTGAATCCGACGCATCAATAAAACCAAAAGAAAATCTATTCTAGACACAATAAAGAAAACAATATCCGTAACATTGTCGGTGTATTAATGTTTCAACAGCTTTTGGCGAATAAACATCACAGGTTGTGTGATTCAAAATTTGGCCAAGAGGAACTCTGGGTCTGGTCACCAACAAAACTAAAAAAAATTTTAAAAAATAATAATCAACCCCGTGCAGAACATGAACCACACTCGCCCCATGGCTGCGTATCAATGAAAGACAACTTTAGGAAATTAAGCAAATGACAGCATTTTAGAACACATTATACATGATGCCCTTGATTTGCATGCTATTTTTGTTATATAAATGACTGGTTTTCCTCTAGATTTAACATGTAAGTATCACGAGCCACCCTTTTCTGTGCAAAACAAAACTTGCAACTACATAAAGTTATTACCAGCCACTGCATACGGCTCTATCCCATCCCCAAATGAGGGTCTCATTGCATGATGCTTAACTGCAGACATATCTGACAAAAATTTAGTAAAGTTGCATGTAAGAAAGGAGACTTAACTTGACAAAATTAAAGTGACACCAAGGACTTGTGCAAGCCGAAGACTAGTACTGTACTTTAGTCAAATCTGACAATACCATCTCAAATTTGAGATTTTGGTCAATAATGCACTTTGAACCCAAATCCGAGCATTTTGAATTTTCACATCCTGTAGAAGCTGAAACTGTGTTTTTGACGCAATTTGGAACTATGCAGCCAAGATTGACATTTGTGAACATATCTTTTTTTTCGCCTTTATTCATTTATTTCCACAATTACAATTCTTTTTTCAACAATTAAGTTACAGAAGAATGAATAAAGTTTGGTTTACAGAAGTTACCAATGACACCATATTGAATCAATAAAGAAAAAAGATGTTGTCAATTCTTATCTACATACTTATTTAACTTAACAATTTTCCTTAAATAGCATTGTCCAACTTTAATTATTAGTTAAAACTGTTTCCTCAAAAATCTTACTTTTGTACTATTTAACCCACATGTAGTACTTCTTTCTTAAAAACGTTGTTTTTCTTGATGTTCTATGACAGACGTTGCACCAACTTGTTGTGAATGTTATAGGGTACCAGCACTCAAGGCTACCACTAGCCAACTGGCCACACATTCCAGTTTTGAATAGTAGACTTTGCACTTTTACTAGCCATTGTAACAATCATGATGGAATGGAGTATTGGTCTACTGGATGAAAACAAAATTGAGAATTATTCTGACAAACTAAAGCTGAAGAGAATAGAAACTANATATTTTAATTTTATTTGATTTTCCTTCAAAATGTCAATGTTAATTCCCTGACACAAAATAAAATTACCTAACCCAATCTCGTTCCCAGAGTCTTCGTTCCCCTTGACCAGCAGTCGGAAAACGAGAGCTCTGGGAGGAACCATTATGAAGTAACCGAATTCTGGTGATTCTGCCTGTCTGGTTTCATTGTGCAGTCTGCATCTATGGCGCATGCCTGAAATGGTTGCTCCCAGAGCTCTCGTTTTCCGACCGCTGGTCAAGGGGAACAAGACTCTGGGAACGAGATTGTACCTAACCTTGATGAACTAATTTTCCCTAAAACTTTTCTGACCTGTGAAAACCCAGCAACCCATAGCATTCTAACGACGAAAAAGCAACTACATGTCATGTAAAACGACAAAAAAAACAAGATGAGCTTAAACGTTAAACGTTCGCCCAAAACAACTACCAGTAAGGGCTTATATCAGGTGGGCTGATCAACTTTTGTTACTGATAGAAAGAAAATTGTAAACATCATCTTTTGCAAAATAAAACAGGGCAAAGACTCGAAGATGAACTTTATTCATTAATTTATTACTAATCTTTGAACAGCAGTTTTCAACATATTCAGAAAGGCTCACCAATCCATGTGGTTGATTCTTTCGTTGTTGATATCGTGATGCCATCTTGTTCACTCGACGAGTCTGATCCACTCAAGTTTATATCTGCTGAATCATTGCCTGATTCCCATGGTTCGAACTTACACCGCCGTTTTTTGACATTTTCAAATAAGACATCAGGATCTTGATCTATTTTATACATCGGCAAGTCAATAAACGCCAGGAAATCCTTGAAACAAACTCAGTAATTTCAAGTAAATTATTTGGTTGCGAATATGAGCTCGCCAAATATGACGTCACAAATACCCATAATTTCGTTTCCACTCCAAGCGCGGCCATTTCTGGTTCGTTTTCATGTAGCTCTCGGAAATCGTCCAATTTTCGTGTCTTGGGCGCCTCAGTTTACACAGAACTTATTTTTAAGAGTTGATTCTGCTTCATGTTGGTATAACTGACTTTTTGGTAAAGGTTTTTCGACAAAAGAAAAATTGTCAAAATTGCGTTGCATTTGACCTTTAATGGTTCGCAAGACTCAAGCATTGCTGTTTCTGAAGCTATTAAACTTTCCCCCGACAGTGATGCAGCAGTTGCTCGATTGAAGCCCAAGGAGAAATAAATTCAAGAAATCACAGGACGCATCCTGGCCATCGATATCAACAAACAACATGTCTGTGTAAACTGCAAACANTTGATAAACTAATTTTCCCTAAAACTTTTCTGACCTGTGAAACCCTGCAACCCATAGCATTCTAATGACAAAAAAGCAACTACATGTCATGTAAAACGACAAAAACAAGATGAGCTTAAATGTTAAACGTTCACCCAAAACAACTATCAGTAAGGGCTTATATCAGGTGAGCTGATCAACTTTTCTTACTGACAGAAAGAAAATTGTAAACATTATCTTTTGCAAAATAAAACAAGGCAAAGACTCGAAAAATGAACTTTATTCATTAATTTATTACTAATCTTTGAACAGCAGTTTTCAACATATGCAGAAAGGCTCACCAATCCATGTGGTCGATTCTTTCATTGTTGATATTGTGATGCCATCTTGTTCACTCGATGAGTCTGATCCATTCAAGTTTATATCAACTGAATCGTTGCCTGATTCCCATGGTTCGAACTTACACAGCCAAATTTGGACATTTCCAAATAAGACACCAAGATCTTGATCTATTTTATACATCGGCAAGTCAATAAATGCCCGGAAATCCTTGAAACAAACTCAGTAATTTCAAGGAAATTATTTGGTTGCGAATATGAGCTCGCCAAATATGACGTCACAAATACCTATAATTTCATTTCCACTCCAAGCGCAGCCATTTCTGGTTCGTTTTCGTGAAGCTCTCGGAAATCGTCAGATTTTCATGTCTTGGGTGCCACAGTTCACACAGAACTTGTTTTTAAGAGTTGATTCTGCTTCATGTTAGTATAACTGACTTTTTATAAAGGTTTTTCGACAAAAGAAAAATTATCAAAATTTCGTTGCATTTGACCTTTAACACACGCAGTAAAGTCGTCATGCAACATTTTTTTCAAAACAGCTGTTTCCCAAACGTCGCTTTATTTTTTTCTTTCACCAAGGAATACATTAATGAAGTCACACACTTTGTCTCTGTAGTTTGTAAATGATAGTAAATTCATTTTATGCCTTATTTTTTGAATTGTCATACCTTTCATGTGTGAAACACGCATTGTTCAGTCGGTCTAAAATGACCAAATGAAATCTCGGCTACTGCTCCAATTACAATGCTCCTCACTGTCCACATTTGCATATAGCTCAAGACAAATGGCATTGAATCGACTTTGCTCACTTAAAGCAAACTATTAGCTACACGGATAACAATGAAAATATGTAATAACCTAGTTACGGCAAGTGCGAAATGGGGAATAATTTTCTCTTCGTCCGCATTTTGTTCAACTTGAAGTCCAACAAACATGATACTTAGGATTGCCGTCTGCCGTATGACGTTGGAAAAAAATGGAAAATACATGACAAAGAATCTAACATTTATTTCAATGGATGGAAAATTTCTGTTGGTTTGGTTACCTGAATCAATTGGGAAAGTACAGTAGTGTTCATTCAATCGCATTTCACACCCACTGGAAAGAAATCTTTTTGACTAGCCCCCTCCCCTTTGGAAATTTACCTCTTTCAGACTCTTTGACCCCTCAGA